GCAGGCTGTGTGGGGCGTCCAGGCCAGCAGGGTGGTTAGTGAGGGACGACCAAATGACTGAACAGCAGGCGGTGTGGGGCGACCAGGCCGACAGGGGGGCAGTTGGGGGCAACATGCTGGTGGGGGCGGGCAGTTAGGGGCGATCAGTCAGGCAGGTGAGCAGTGAGGAGCTAGCGGTCCGGGATTGTGAGAGGGATGTCCAACTGCCGGTTTAGGCCCTATCCTAGGATGCAGGCTGGGCCGAGGGACCCCCCCCCCCCCCCCCCAGAATTTTGTGCACTGGGCCTCTAGTTGTATATAGTAAAAGCCTAGGTGGCGTTGCACAACATTACAAGATGGCCACCCTCACATTGTCACAGATGGCCACCACAAGTTGGTTACCACAAGATGGCCGGCAGGGAAGAGCAGTTGGGGGTGAATGGGCCAGCAGGGGAGGGCAGTTGGGGGCGATCAGGCCGGCAGGGGAGGGCATTTGGGGGCGAGATCAGGCCGGCAGGGGAGGGCAGTTGGGAACAAGATCAGGCCAGCAGGGCAGGGCAGTTGGGCGCAATCCAGCTGGCAGGGGAGGGCAGTTGGGGGTGATCGGACCTACAGGGGAGCAGTTAGGCATCAATCAGGCCAGCAGGGGAGCGGTTAGGGGGCGATCAGGCTGGCAGGCAGAAGCGGTTAGGGGCAATCAGGCAGGCAGGCAGGCCAGCGGTTAGGAGCCAGCAGTCCCAGATTGTGAGAGGTATGTCCCAGATTGGAGAGGGTACAGGCTGGGTTGAGGGACACCTCTCCGTGCACGAATTTCATGCACCGAGCCTCTAGTACTCTTAACAAAAAAGTAATTCTCTTACATTTCTATAAAAGAAGGTAACTAGGTCAGTATTTTCCAAACTCTGTTTTTTAGAACTAATGTCAATAATTTATAAATTGTTTTGAGGATAATGTTTCCATGGTCAAATAAGTTTAGGAAATACAAATTAAAGTTTCAGAGATTCTTTAATATGGGATTTTTTGGGTCTGTGAATATCGCAGAGAATATTTATTTGACCTTGGTCATGCTCTGGATGATGATTTTGGGGTTATTTGTATAGAAGTTATGATTTGAATTGTTCCTAAGAATGTGGTATACAAGACTGAACAGGTCTGAATGGTAAATATTTCCATATGAATGTTCTACAGGCACCACAAATTCAGTATGTCCAAAATGGAATTCATTTTTTTCTGCAGCATATGCTTTTCTCTCCTTGAATTGTCTTTTTTGGTTATTGGCGTTACCATTCTCTTGTGACTCAAGGCAGACATTTGGGGGCTCATATTTGCGCTTCTCATTTACATTTATCGAGGTGGTACTTACATTCTGTTGATTTTATCTTGTTTTTATCATCTGCTAAACTTTGTCTTCTCCGTTTTACTTAAGACAGTCATTAACTGTTCTTTATATGGACGCCTGACTAGAGCCTATTCTCTTTTAATATGTCCTTCTCTTTCTGTTGCACAAATCTGATCATATTTTCCTATTAACCTTAGAATAAAGTTCTTAGCATAAACGCTTTAGCATGGCAATCAAGACTTTTTCTGAAATGGCCCTTGCTATCTCTGCATCTTCAAGTTATTCTTCCTTGTTCCCTACAACCAATCATATGGGATCACTCAGGGTATCATATAATTGCCATCTTGTTTTTTATTTCTTTGCCTTTACTCTGCCTTGAATCCCTTTCCCTGTTTTGCCTTTTTTTTATTTTTATTTAATCCTCACCCAAGGACATATTGATTGTTAGAGAGAGGTGGGGGAGAGAGGGGGCGGAAAACAAATCAATGGATTGCCTCCCAAATTGCACCCTAACCAAGATTGAACCCGCAGTCTAGGTATATGCCCTGACCAGGAATTGAAACCATGACTTTTCAGTGTTCAGGACAATGCTCCAACAAACCTAGCCACACCATCCAGAGGTTTGCTCTTGCTGCAAACCAAGTTCACTGTGGTGTATTCACTCTGTCCTTGCCTCTTTCACCTTCATAGTAACATAGTACTTTCTTTATACAGCCACTGAGTCATATAGATGTTTCTTTTCTAACACTTTACAATTCTGTAAACATTTGCTTCAATATGTTTCCTTGACAGTGAATTTCTTGAAAGGAGGGACTGTGTATTAACTTTGGACTGGAACTCTTAGCACAGTTACCTGATGTATGTGCAGCCCAGTAAATGTTTAGCTCAGTTACCCTTTCCATATATAATATCTATTAACGCCTCTTAGAACAAATGATCAGAAATGGTGCATTAGATTTTTACTATTATTTATTGGTATGATGATTAGTATCTTAAATTTAATCCTGAATGTCTACTAGTAAGTGTAGGGTATTGAGAATTAGTTGTCTTTACTACTGGCTAGTTGTACAACCTCTTTCCAGCTCTTTTATAGTATGCTTACAAATATTCTTAAATTGAAGATTAAATTTTGAAAATCAGCATTGAAATTTTTGGCTTTTAAATGTTATTGGAAAGAAAGAGTGTGGCCTGGCTGAAATGAACCAACATTTTCTCCCTTATAGCTCCTTTCCCCACCCAATGGTATGTGTATAGTGTGAATGAAACTTCAAAAGAACATACTAATGTAATTGACCCAAAATATTCATTTTACATGTAACCTTGGGTCATCTGACCTGCAGAATAATGAAAATAGGGACATTTATTTCATTTTCAACTTCAGAGGGAAGAGATTGTCTTTGAGAAATATATCAGGAAGATTTATTTCAGCAGGTTTATATACAGAAGAAAAATTACTTATTTGTAATCATGATCTCTAGTTATTTGTTGTTGAAATTGATCACCAGTCAGTCTTGTTTTCTTTACATTGAAGTCTTAAATAGTGTTTGTTTGGAATGCTATACAACATTTTTCTATAAAAAATTATAACATTCACAGGTAAAAAGTATAATTATGTAATGGCAGGTCCTTAGCTCAGAACTTTGAGCTTAGCAAATTTTCACTATCTTCTACCAAGCAATTGAATATCTCAAATGATGACTATTTCAGCAAGTATCTTTAATGAATAAAAATTACAGGTAAAAACTTTTTTCTTTTCAAAAAATGTTAATGATGTATTTATTCATAGTGCATTGTAATTTGTTAATCTTAAGTATGCTTTCATAGTTACAAAAATGTAGTATACATTTTAGTGATGAATGTGATAATTCAATGAAATTTTACTGTACTTTTCTAATTTTTTTTTAAGATTTGTTTTTCTAAATGTTTGTACTGGTTATTATAATTCTATTTCTTAAACAGAATACCAATATGGTTAAAACCCAAACAAAATTGGCATCCCAATTTTGATAAGCCTCTTAAGGCTAGTTATTTTAAGAATTTATTTTGTTCTTATTTATCAGTTTCTTAGCCAGTAAAATGTAGAGTAATAAAAAAACTCTGTTACCAACCTCAATTGCAGAGATTACAAGGACTCAATGTCGCCAGTTGAAATGCAATAATAGTAACATGCTTAATTAGTAGCTTTCATTTTAATTGCTGCATAACATCAATTTATTAGAATAGCTATATGTGTAAATGGTTATCATGATAATGTTTCTTAAGAATATAAAGTCTTTGATAAAATTTTCAACAATAGGCTGAAAAGGAAAGGCTTTTATAAAATCCTCTTAAATTGCTTTGTGACCAGTTTGTTTCAGTTTTTCAAACTAAGTTTAAGATTATTAAATGCTTAGAAATAAAAATCAATTGTAATTTACAAATTTATTTCAAAATTTCATTAACCCAGTACCTACTTTTTGTTTCATCAGACTGATTTTTATGTTTTCTTACTGCTTTATACATGTTAATCTTAAAACTATTATTTTTCCATATATAAAATCATTAAAGCAGTGAAGTTGTACTGTACATTTGATGTTATTTCATTTTTATAAATATTATTGTTTACAATTAAATACTTGAGAGAATTACAAATCTTTAACCCGAAAACGATTGACATTTGTGCATTTTGCTCACTTTTTGTGCAAATTTTCTTCATTTACATTTGTTTAGTAACTTAGTTCTAATTATTTTAATATACTACCAATATAGTTCTTATGCACAAAAGGACATGCTCTATTTTAAATTGTTTGCAATTTCACGTAATAACTAAAACATAGGTAAGTAATTGTACGCTGTTAAATTATTAAAATATAGTAAGGCACTAGCATTGTATAGACATAATTTTTAGAATTTATCCTAAGAGAATGGGTAAAGAAAGGGGGTTTTTGCAAATTCCATATTTCAAATACTAACTATGAGAGTAGCTTTTAGCATGGTTGACACTCTGTTCTACTAGATGTCTTCATTTGTGTTCATGAAATTTAAGTTAGCATAGTTGTTGCTAATGTTAAATATATTAATACTTAAGTATAGCTATTAAACTTTCATAAAGTTATGAAATACTCAACTCTATTAATGGCATTTCAGATCAGGTCGGCCTCCTAATTATACAGATTTTAATATATCAGCAAATGATAGTCATCAACAGTTTCTGAAATAAAAATATTTTGGAAAAGTTAGTTTTTATATTAATTATTTTAAAAGTTTCATAGGTAGTATATGCCTTCGTTAATATAAGAAGTTACAATTGGTATAGTTTTAGAAATCAAGAAGTTTAAAAAAATTATAGTTAATATTTGAACTATGCTTATAAAGGTTTTTAAGAGAATACAGCCTCCAAAATTCTAAATTTCTGTGATTTTTATCACCTCTAGGTAAGTTAATTGTAATAGATATTGAAATTGCATTATCATATTGAATTTCACCATAGATGAAATATATTATCTCACTTTTTAAGTCCTAAAATAATAGTCAATATTAATGCATATCACATATATTAATCATATAGCCTACTTTTATTTTTTAAAGAGTAAATTTTTTGAAACTGTTTTACCTAATGTGTTATGCCATTTATTTTAAATTGTACTGTTTTATCTGTTTCCATTGTAATTATAAAAAATTTAATACTTATTTTGTTTTCAAGATTAAAAAATGAAGCTCCCACTAAGGAACAAAAACCTGTGTCTGAGGTAAATTTTGTCTTATTTTATATCTTAAAGATTTATACATTAGAAAGTATTATTGGTGTGGTTTTTTAGAAAAAAAAGTTTTAATTCAATGTGCTTACATTGATAACAATTGTTGGCATGTTAACAGGAAAATATTGAGATTATTAAAAATTATTTCATTAGATATAAAAAATATCTAATCCTAATTAAAACTGTAAGGTGGTTTTGTTTTGGCAAAGACATTATATATTTCATTTGCCTGTTTAATTCAACTAGTGAATAATGAAAATAAATTTATGATTTTAAAATTCTGAAATCCATAAAACCTCAAACATTTTGTACATTGGAAAATTAATCTTTCCAGATGATATAACTTTGGGGGGAATTTAGACTGTCGAAGATTTAACTAATTTTTTAAGTGAAAATATTCTGGATATATGGTAACTGTTTTAGCTATTTTAAACAGGCACTGTGCATATAACACTCAGGGTTATCATATAAAATGTTATTTACTGGGCAGTCTAATAAATGAGAAATTTCTAATTTCTAAAGTTAGAAATAATTTTGCTCAAGTGCTTGCTTTATGTTAATTTTTAAAAACATTACTTAATATTATTTGTATGTGTTTTTTCTGAGTATAATGAAGTGAGACAGGTTTAGCATTTATCTTTTGCATAGCATTATGTCTTATACAGAGTAAGTAAGACCAAGGCAGAAGTAGCAGCCTTCTTCCAAGTGGCTTTTATACCACAGAAAGTTTTCTTTTGTATGAAAGGTTTTTAACTACAAATAAATTTCTTTAATGGATGTAGGATATTTGGTTATCTGTTTATTCTTGAGTAGTTTTGGTAGTTTGTGGTTTTTAAGGAATTGAAACATTTAATCTGAGATGTTGAATTTATGTGTATAGAGTTGTTTGTAGTATTCCCTTATTCTTTTAAATGTCTGGGTTCTGTAGTGATTAATCCTCTCTTTCATTCCTGATATTGGTAGTTTCTGTGTTTTTCCCCCCTATTGTTTTCATGTACTATATATAACTTTTAAAGACAAAATACAATGTTATTGTTTTTGCTTTAGTCAGTTATTTTGTAGAGCAATTTAAAACTTTAAAAAATAATATTGCATTTACCTTCATGTCCATTATTTCCAGTAGTCCTCATATCTTTATGGAGCTCTTCTTTTCTGTCTAGTATCATATTCCTTTGACCTAAAGAACTTCCTTTGCTATATATTTCATTACATATCTACTGATAGGTAATTATTGTTATTCTTTTTCCATTTTTCTAAAAGATTTTTTTTGTGAGTATAGAGGGTTGACAGTTTTCACTCAGCAGTTTAAAGAAGGTATTGTATTGTCTCTTGGCTTGCATATGTTCTGATGAGATGTCTTACTGTAATTTTTATCTTTTGTTTCTATGTATGTATGTAATATGTCATTTTTCTTTGGCCCTTAAGATTTTATCTTTATTTTATCTTTAGTCTTCATTATTTTGAACATGATTTGACTAAGTTTGGTTTGTTCATTTGTTTATTTATATGTTTATCTATTTTTGTATTTATTTTTTGCATTTATCCTGGCTGGTGTTCTCTAAGCTGTTTTGTATCTTCAATTTCTGGGGTTCCAGTTTCACATGTGTTATACATTTGATGTTAGTCCTGGTTCTTAAATGCCTGTTCTGGTTTCTACACCCCATCCCCCAATACAGATATTGCTATGACATATGTCTGCTATTTTGCTGCCTATGAAGTCTTCTAAGATTTTTATGGTTTCCCATCTTACGTTTAAGTCCATTTTGAGTTTATTCTTGTGTATGGTGTAAGTTGGTGTTCTGCTTTCATTTTTTTGCATGTATCTGTTCAATTTTCCCAATATCATTTATTGAAGAGACTGTCTTGACTCCATTGTATGCTCTTACTTCCTATGTCAAATACTAATTGAGCATATTGGCTTGGGTTGATTTCTGGGTTCTCTGATCTGTTACATGGTCTATATATCTGTTCTTGTGCCAGTACCAGGCAGTTTTGAGAACAGTAGCTTTGTAATGTAGCTTGATATCTGGTATTGTGATCCCTCCAACTTTGTTCTTCTTTCTCAAGATTGCTGCGGCTCTTTGGGGTCTTTTTTTATTCCAGATGAATTGTTGGAGAGTTTGTTCTAGGTCTGTGAAATGTGTCGTTGGCATTTTAATGGGGAGTGCATTGAATCTATAGATTGCTTTGGGTAGTATGGATATTTTAATGATGTTGATTGTACCAATCCATGAACACAGTATATTCTTCCATTTGTTTATGTCTCCCTCTGTCTCCTTTTTCAATATCCTGTAGTTTTCCAAGTACGGGTCTTTTATCTCCTTAGTTAAGTTTATTCCTAGGCATCTTAATTTTTTTGGTGCAATGGTGAATGGTATTGTTTTTTTAATTTCTATTTCTGTGAGTTCATTATTGCTGTATAAAAAAAAAGCCATAGCTTTCTGGGTGTTAATTTTGTATTCTGCTACATTGCCAAATTCATTTATTAGGTCTATAATAATAAAAGTGTAATATGCTAAATAGACCAGACATTCTTCCAGACAACCTTCTGGACAAAGCCAGGGCTGCGAGGGAAGCCCGGATCCTGGGTGCAGTCTTTGAGGTTTTCTATGTACAGTATCATGTCATCTGCAAATAAGGGTACTTTTACTTCTTCTTTTCCAGTTTGGATGCCTTTTCTTTCTTCTTCTTGTCTGATCACTATGGCTAGCACTTCCAATACTATATCGAACAGAAGTGGTGAAAGTGGGCATCCTTGTCTTGTTCCTGTTCTTAGGGGAAATGGTTTTAGTTTTTGCCCATTGAGTATGATGTTGGCTGTAGGTTTGTCATATATGGCTTTTATTGTGTTGAGGTATGATCCTTCTATTCCCACCTTGCTGAGAGATTTTATCAAGAAAGGGCTTTGGATTTTGTCAAATGCTTTTTCTGCATCGATTGATATGATTATGTGATTTTTGTCTTTCAGTTTGTTTATGTGATGTATCACATTTATTGATTTGTGGGTTTTATACCATCCGTGCATCCCCGGAATAAATCCCACTTGGTTATGGTATATGATCTTTTTAATGTAATGCTGGATCTGATTTTGTTAGAATTTTGTTGAGGATTTTGGCATCTATGTTCATCAAGGATATTGACCTGTAATTCTCTTTCTTTGTAGTGTCCTTATCTGGTTTTGAGATTAGGGTAATGCCTGCTTCATAGAAAGAGTTTGGAATTGTTCCTTCCTCTTGAATTGTTTGGAATAATCTGAAGAGGATAGGTTTTAGTTCTTTGAATGTTGGTAAAACTCCCCTTAAGTTAACATAAATACCATACATTTTCTGAAAAATAACTGTTTCCCAAAATAAACTTAAGAGAATGACATTGTTTTCCACTTTTGCATATCTCTTTAATGTCTAGTTTAGTAGAAGAAAACTGAATTCTCATGTTTCTGCATTCACCCTGTTGTGGTATGTTGTTTTGGTTGAAATTTATAAAGACTATCCAGCCTTATCCAGTACTTTAAAAATCTTTTAAATAATTCTGATTATTCTCCTTTAATATTACATAAAAATAGACAAGTGGGCCCTAGCCGGTTTGGCTCAGTGGATAGAGCGTCAGCCTGTGGACTGAAAGGTCCCAGGTTCAAATCTGATCAAGGGCACGTGCCTGGGTTGCAGGCTCGATCCCCAGTAGGGGGCATGCAGGAGGCAGCCCACCAGTGATTTTCTCTCATCATTGAGGTTTCTCTCTCTCTCCCTCTCCCTTTCTCTCTGAAAGCAATAAAAATATATATATTTTAAAATAGACAAATAGAAGTTTTCTTAAATATGTATTGCAATATGGAATTGACTCCATTTAACTAAATTTTTTGTACTTTGTTACATTAAAATCTGTTATTCTGTCTTACACTTTGATTGAATATTTTATCCATGGATGATTTTATGTCAGGCATTGCTCATTTGTATAATATTGGTTCACTGAGTTACTTAAATCTTCCAAATGTTGACATGTTTTATTATATAATATCAATTATCACGTTCATTAAGATTATCATAAATCTTATCAGTGGTGGATACAAATTTTCCTAAAATTTAATTTTTACTTGAATTTTATTATTGACAACAAATAATGTCAGCTGTTTTCTTTAGTATGACAGGCTCACTTTGTCAATTTTCAAGAAAATGTCTACTAAACAGCCAAGTTTAAATGTCCATACTTTAAAAAAAAAAAAAGTCCATACTTTGACAGTCATTCTTTAAAATAAAAACTATGTTAAATGGAAAAAATGTGGCTAGGTTTTGCTCACAGCTTAGTCACAGACTGAAGTATTTTCAATATGCAGTACTTTATGTATACATTCTATTTTATCACACAATATTAAAAAGACATAAACTAAAGGATTGAAATATAATAAAATTATATGACATATAATAAAATTTACTGCTGGTGTGTGCTGGTAAAGAATACAGTGATTACCAGTATAATTTTGATTTAGTGCCATTCCTTTGATTTGTGTTAAGCTACCAGCATTTTTACCCACCACTGCTTTTGTTTGAACCTCAAGTGCCTTGGGTGTTTTGGAGGCCCTAGGTGTCTGTGAACCACACTCAAGAACTGCTTACATGGATTTGTATATATAAAGGTCACCTCCTGGATTGCAGTACAATCTGCACAGTCTGCGTGGGAATTATTTAAACTTTAACATATAAAATCGGGTGCTCTGCTGGCTGATTCTTTGGTGGAGAGTATAGTTTCAAAACCATTCTGGGAAATCTTTTCTTTGGGGCTGGCAATTTTCTCCAAAGAGGAAATCTTCTAGGTTCCAGTTGGGAATGGTAGGATGAAGAGTGATTCCTCTGGCTCCTGGGACTATGGATTCCTTTACTCAGTTTATGGATTTTTATTAATTTTTTTGTTTTATCTCTGTTTCTCATGCCTGCCCTTTGTTGTTCCTGGTGTTTGTTCACAAGTTTACATTGTCTCCAGTTCAGAGTTAACCTTTAGCCACTGTGTAAGGATAGGTATCTGTTGTGCGAGTTATAGAAAAAGCATTTAGATTTCTCAGCAGTCTTTGTGCTTCATTTTTACCTTTTCTGTACTGAATATTGTACTAAATTCCTCCAAATACCAGGTTTTTTGGGTTGCCTGGACAAATGGATTCTCTTCCTACACTTCCCACTCAGCTGTTTTGTTGTAACTTCCTCCACACTGTGAAGTCAGTTTCCAGTCCTCCAGCCACTTTCCATTTAAAAATGTGTTGAAATCTCTTTGATAATAAGTCTGCCTTGGTGTTTTCTTGGTCTTTATGAGTGAAGATGATTTATTTCTTTGCCCTCATTGTAGCAGGATTTTGGGAAAGTGAGGAAATAAATGTATGTGATTAATACACCATTATCACAGGCTTGTTTTAGTCACTAATCTGGATTTTAATCCGTACCGCTTATTGTGGTATTGCTTTAGTTCTCTACTTAACCTGTGAACCCTTATTTTTCATTTGTAAAAATAGAATTTATGGTATCTAATATGAGAATTAAATGCGATAGTGAATATAAAGTTCTTAACATACTACATGCATTATATGTGCTTATTAATTGGTAATTGTCATAAACTGTTTTGCTGGCCTCTGGCAAACTGAGGTTTTATTGTATTCCTTCCTCCCCGTAAAAGATTTGAAATAAGCAAAATATTTAATTTGTCTATCACTTAATATTACTTAGTTTGACAGTGGAAGGGTTACTGTGATTCATATGAAATGATAATTTCACAAATGTTTATATTTAAGTAACTATACTTAATATGTTTGTATAAAAATACTGTGAATACAACTTGTTCAAATATAAGTTGTCTAAAACTATAACTAGTTTTCTATTCAAGTATAATGACTTGGGAGTGTGGGGCACTGACCCACACACACAGTTGAAAATTCGTGTATAACTTTAGACTTACCCAAATTTAGCTGTAGTATGGTTTTCCTTAGGTATCTGCAGGGGGTTGGTTCCAGGACCTCACTCCCATCCCAAAGGATACCAAAGTCCGTGGATGTGCAAGTCCCTTATATTAAACAGTGTAAAATATTGCATACAATTGGCCTTCCACATCCGTGGATTGCCAACTGCAGATTGAAAGTACTGTTTTTAATACGAGGTCAGTTGAATCCACAGAAATGAAACCCAGGGATTCAGGGTGTCAACTATATATTTATTGAAGAAAAATCTGCGTTTAAGTGGACCTGCACAGTTCACCCCCGTGTTGTTCAAGGAACTGTGATTGTAATTATGGCCCATATTTGAAACAGAATCTAAGGCAGTGGTTCTCAACCTTCCTAATGCCGCGACCCTTTAATACAGTTCCTCATGTTGTGGTGACCCCCAACCATAAAATTATTTTCGTTGCTACTTCATAACTGTAATTTTGCTACTGTTATGAATCGTAATGTAAATATCTGATATGCAGGATGTATTTTCATTGTTACAGTGTTTTCCGATGGTTTTAGGCGACCCCTGTGAAAGGGTCGTTCCACACCCAAAAGGGTCGCGACCCACAGGTTGAGAACCGTTGATCTAAGGAAACCAGGTATTCTTATAACTGGATAACTGTTTCATGACCTTAATTCAGAAACTTGTGGTACAGAGAATTTCGTATAGGTTTCTTTTAAAACAATTTTAAAAAATTATACTTTTGATAATGAGAATTATTCTAGTTTGTATTTTTAATTAAAAAATTGTTTTTCTAGTTCCTTGGTATGTAAGATTGCACACTTAAATTTCTTTTATCCAGAGAGCTTAGCATAATAAAAGCAGTTTGTTTATCCATAATGATAAATTATTATTTATCATTTCAGGAAATTGCAAGACCTAATAAGGCTGAAGGAGAAACAGAAACATCAAATTCTGAAAGGTAAATAAATATAAGGAAAAACTGAATCTCAAATCCAAGTATGAGTATAAAATGACATTTGAGTTGTATTATTGTAGTTAAATAAAGGAGTATTTAAATACTTGTATATGTTATTGTTTTTAATAATGACTTTTAATTAAAATAAATTTTTGAAATTTTAATACAGCAAAATTATATTACAGATCCCTAATTTTGAAATACTTTTATACATATAGAGTATAAAGTTGTTAAAATGTTTTAAAGTACTTACTAGTAAGTAAAATTTAAGAGATTTTTATTGCTCCTATTAAACAAAAACAGTTACAATTAGCTACAAGTTACAACATGGGGACAGTTATCACAAATAGGTAATTTTGAAATCTTTTTTTTTTTAAAGTATTTTCAAAAAGCTTTAAAGCTACTTATTTATGTGGTGGCATCTCAGCTTAAAGTTTCAAAATTTAGCCTTAACCGGTTTGGCTTAGTGGGTAGAGCGTCAGCCTGCGGACTCAAGGGTCCCGGGTTCGATTCCGGTCAAGGGCATGTACCTTGGTTGCGGGCACATCCCCAGTAGGGGGTGTGCAGGAGGCAGCTGATCGATGTTTCTAACTATCCTTCTCCCTTCCTCTCTGTAAAAAAACAATAAAATAAATATTAAAAAAAAAAAGTTTCAAAATTTAGAAATCGGTTTTTAAAAATTTAATGCTCAGGCAGAACACTAAAGAACACAAAACACCCTCCAGTTCCCTTTCCCATTGGATCTGAACACCGATCTTGGTGGTCGTAGAGGAGGAAAAGTAATAGTGAAGCTGGCCTCAAAGTGCTTACAGTCTGTGGGCTAGTTTCAAACAAGGTATAAAAAAAAAAAAAACACAAGACATTCACAGTCTTTTAGTAAAAGAATTCCAACTTTCTAATTAGAACTCTTTCCAGATTAAGATAATCTTATTTTACCTTTTGAATTAAATAATTTCTCCATTTTTATCTTTCTACTGTATATTTTACAGTAGGTTGCTTGTTAATCTCATGAGATTAATTAATCTATTGCTCTTAAAAAACAAATTATGGAATAAGGTTTTATGAAAGATCTTAACTTAGACTTAACTTAGCATTTTTCATAGAATCCTGGAAGGAAGGGAGAAGAGTTTAGAGGGAAAAAGCAGACTAGTCACTTCTGAATTACTTAACATTTTTTGTAAATTGTAGTTAGTCCAATAAGAGCTGAACAAAAATAACAATTATACGACTCTAAAAGAGGAAAATAAAATTTTTTTCAGATGGTGTAATTGACGTATAAGAAACAAAAAAGTGAGCTAATATTCTTTTCTATATACCAATAACATCTTTTCTATATACCAATTACAAAATATAATGGACAAAAGAGATAATTCACAATATTAACAAAAATGAGAAATGTGTAAGATCTAAATAAAAAACAAAAATTTACTGAGATAGAAAATAATATATTAATAACTTGCATGATAGGCCATTTGCAAATTAAGTTATGGGTTTAGTGAACATTTAGTTAAAAATTCCAATGACATTTGGTTTGGAAACTGACAAAGTTTAAGGTTCCGATTTTTCTATTTATTAATACCATACTTTATTTAATTACTAGAGGCCCGGTGCACAAAAATTTGTGCACGGGGGGGGTTCCCTCAGCCCGGCCTGTGCCCTCTCACAGTCTGGGACCCCTCGGGGGATGACCACCTGCTGGCTTAGGCCTGCTCCCCGGGGGATT